TCCCGACCCTTGGTCATCGTTCCTCAGTCACCGCTCTGATACCCAATCTTGCGCTTCCTCCTCCTGGCATCTCTACCCCCGAGAACTTGCGATACTGAGCCATCATTCTGCCCCTTTGTCCTCCCTCCAGTGGTCCTACTTCTTTAGCACAATGCCTCCTGTCTATCACCTCCCACAACGTGTCAGCTATGACCTGTGTCCCAGGCCTGGCACCCTTTAACTTCCTCATCCCCTGTTCCTCCCAAGCCTCTGTGGATGCTTCAGGGCATCATCTTTCATGAAACCCAAATGCCAGTGATTTTTTTCCCCATCCTTTGTCTACAATCTGTGAGAGGGTCTCTGAGATCCGCTGTGGGGCAGACTTCTGAGCTTCTCTCTTGGTCAAGCCATGGGTCAGTGGAGTCACTCCTCGTGTGAGGATCATGGAGCACAGGCTTTCTCTTGTTTATTTCAGGGTCATTGTGCAGGGTCCAGAAGTGGAGGGGCAAACATGCCAAATACAGTCTTCTGCTCCAACCAGAAGCTTCCAGGAACCCAAAGGCAGTATACAAGGCAGCTGGTCTCCATAGATGAGTTTCTTTTCACAGAAGAGAAGAGGGCGGGGGTCTTCCAGATGAACAGGTGCTCCCAGTCCCTGGAGAGGAGCCTCTCCCTGCTGGGTCAGGCACTCTGGAGGGTAACACGTCTGTTGTCTGTTGGGCTTCACCAGACACAGGACTCCTCTGCAATCACTTGTCCGCTGAATGTGGCTGTACGGGAGAAGTCAATGGCAACCATAATGGTTATTATAAAATACCTAAAAATACCAAGTGCAGACTAAGGGCTTAGCAATATTCCCGGCATTACAACGGGGGCTTCCAGAGCCCACAGCCCACAGAGTGCAGCAGTCACTGCTATGCGGGTTTCATAGACCTGAGGTGAAGCACCCCAGAGCTGCCACTCAACCAGGACATGATGGGACCAGAATAGACCCAGAAATCCTGCCCCCACCTCAACTACCATGCATGCAGAGCTCACATGGAGGCAGGCTCAGGGTTAAACACATATCTGCACTCCGTCTCCTTCTTCTCCTGGGTGAAATTGAGGCTTGGGAGGAGAAATATCCTGCCAAAGGTGACAGCAGCAGGTGGCAGAGAAAAACACTTGAATCCAGTTCTCTCTGGCTCCAAAGCTGTACTTTTAAAAACCACGTGCTACTCCCACCCGGCCCAGCCACCCCACCTCTGCTGGAAACCCAGCAGAGTTCTAGGCACCATTTAGTACCTGTCTAAAGGAGAATCAGGTGAAGAGCTTGGAGAACATTTTGGAAGAGAGAAGGAGATAATCAAACAAGCAAATACAAGACTGTCATGGTCAGGAACGATAGGGCTGGAGCCACAAAACATGACAGGTTAACCTAGTTGAAGGGATACAGAACTGTGATGCTGGAGTGGCACCCTGAGAATGTTACATGAAGAGGGGTAGGGTGGGTATGTAATGGCATGTGCAGAAGTCCAGAGAGGAAACCCGGTGTGCTGGAGGAAACAGAATGTCAGCGTGGCTCCAGCATGGACTGTGTCAGGAAGCAAACATGAGGCTGGAGGGGTGGGCAGGGGCCAGGCCCTAGGAGCTTCAGAGGCTGTACTGGGAAGGGTGAGGTGCAGGCAGGACATGATCCAGGGTACACCTTCAAAACAAATATTGTGTATTAATGCATATATATGGAATCCAGAAAAATGGTATTGATGAACCTATTTGCAGGGTAGAAATAGAGACACAGACGTAGAGAACAGACTTGTGGACAGTGGGGGAAGGAGAGGGTGGGACGAATTGAGAGCGTAGCTTTGAAACATATACATTACCATATGTAAAATAGATAATGTGTGGGAAGTTGCGTTAACACAGGGAGTTCAACCCAATTCTCTAGGACAACCTAAAGGGGTGAGGTGGGGGGGGGGGTTGGGAGGAAGGATCAAGAGGGAGGCGACATATGTATATTTATGGCTGATCCACACCATTGTAGGACAGAAACCAATACACACTGAAACAATTATCCTCCAATTTAAAATAAAATCATTCTGGCTGCTGGGTGGAGAAGAGACTGGAGGAGGAAGGCAGGAGGGAGGGCAGTTGTTCGAAGGCTGTTGTAGTGTCCAGGTGGGACACGGCAGAGGTCTGGATGAGGGCATGGCTGCAGGATGGGGAAAGGGGTGTGGCTTCAAGAGCTCCGCAGAGTCCACGCTGCTCCTTTCACTGAGCAGCCAAAGGCACAATGGGAGGTGCTGCAGCCACCCTTCTGATTCGAACCATGGCACACGTGCCCACTGTAAGGTGAAATGGTGACCGACTCTTTGAGAAACAGGTCCTGGAATCAAAGAGCTTTGTTACAAATCATGTTCTGTGTTGTGTTGCTGAAATATGTCAATTAGTAGCCTCCATTCTGGTTGCACAAAGAATAATTACCCCGACTGTGTTATCAGTAACATATTCACGATATTTACAAGGCTTTTCTTGAAAATCTGAGCAACCCATGAATTGGAAATCAGCACAGTCCCAGAATGTAGGGGTCATGGACACAAAGATGCACAGCCTGGGGCCTTCCGTGGCTCCCTCCTCTGATCCTCGGAACCACCCCTGGGTGTGGGAACTTCCTTCAAATCGTGGTCACCCTAGGGGAAGCACTGGCTCTGCCTTGAGCTTTAGTCAAGTTCAGATACATCCTTCTGTTTTCCGTAACAGCTGTGTGGTCGTGGGCAAGGGGCAGCCTTGGCCTCCGTTTCCCCATTTGGCATTGGAGACCACTGTTCTTCCAGCGGCACTACCACTAGGAGGTGCTAGTGGTAAAGAACCCGCCTGCCCATGCAGGCGATGTGAGGCACAGGTTTGATCCCTGGGTGGGGAAGACCCCCTAGGCAACCCACTCCAGTATTCTTGCCTGGAGAATCCCATGGACAGAGGAGCCAGGCGGGCTACAGTCCATAGAGTTGCAAAGGGTCAGACACGACTGAATCAACCTAGCACGCACGCATGCCCAATAACCACTACCTCACAGTATCTTATTCTGAAGATTCTGCTGGACATCATTTGTACAATGGTAGCTGAGGCTGATCAAGTGCTAATTATGTGCTAGGCATCTTTCTAAGCACTTTGTACATGAGCACTTTAATCTCCTCAGCAGCCCCATGAGATGGGGATATTAGGATCCCCACGGAGATGAGGAAGCTGAGATACACTGAGATCAAGTGAATAACTCACAGTCACACAGCTAGTATAAACAGAGCCAGGATTTGAATCCCAGCAGACTGAGGTCAAACCCCTTGCTCATAACCGCCATGCAGCACAGTCCAGTGCTGGCACATAGTGGGTGCTCAGTGGGGATGTTTGTTTCCTTTCCATCGGCCCGAAAGTGAAAGTTGCCCAGTCGTGTCCGATTCATTGCAACACCATGGATTATACAGTGCATGGAATTCTCCAGGCCAGAATACTGGAGTGGGTAGCCTTTCCCTTCTCCCGGGGATCTTCCCAACCCAGGGATCGAGTCCAGGTCTCCCACATTGCAGGCGGATTCTTTACCAGCTGAGCCACAAGGGAAGTCCACTGGCCATAAATGGTATACTAAATGCAAGAGAAGCTCAGAAAGTGGTAAGTCAGTCCCTTGCTTTCCACTCTAGCTACCTACAGGGACCAATTGGTGTGAAAAAGCCTAAGAGAAGGCAGCCTCTTCCTAACCAACACAGGGGGAAATTAAGCTAAACCTGAAACCGACCTTACCTTAGAGAAAGACCTGTGGTTGTTGATGGGTACATGTTATAGGCGCAAATATCATCTGCCAAATTGTTCAATTAACAATACCTGACAAATGACCACTGCTGTCCACCAAGAGATCTTGATTGCTTTTCCCCGAAGTCTTACTCATCAGTTCTGATCAGGTATTTCAGGTCCATCCTACTTTATTAAGCACTAATCATTTATTGATTGATTGTCTGGTTATACACCAATCATTTAAATATTTATTCAAAAAGTACTTACCAAACACCTATATGTACCAGGCTGTGTGTTCAGTGCTAGAGAAGAGAAATAAATGAGATACTCTGCCCTCCAGGAACAGAGTAGCAGGTAAGTTGTGGTGTCAAGAGCTTTGAGGGCCATAGGAGGGAGCCATCAGCTGTGCCCCAAAAACTGAGCCAAGACCCCACAACAGTGTGGCCAAGATCTTGAAAGATGATAATTTTTTTCAGCGGGAGGAGAGTAAGGCGAGCATCCCAAAATTGAAAATAGGATGAGTAAAGGCCTAAAGGCACAAAAGGACATGCATGTTCCAGAATGCTAGACGTCCGAGTGGCTGGGATGACTGTGGCGAGGGCTCCAGGACACTGCCCCTCGACACTCAGGCTGCAAGGCCATTTCTCTATTTTTCAAAGCTGAACAGCATCCTGTTGAAGCTCCTGCTCACCGAAGTCTAGGGAGAAGCTCCATATCATTCCTTTCTTTGAACCTCCCCCTCCCTTGGGTTCCATCAGAACTCAGAGCCCAGGAAGGATCTAGTGGGAGCAGGGCGCTGGCTGGAGATGAGCTGCAGATCGCTCATCCTTGTCCAGGCCCTCATGGCCCGTTGTAATCTGATGTCTCTCCTTGAGGTTCTGCTGGTCCTTCCATGTCAAGCACTGCTGCAGAGACCATTACCAAGGATTTTGTTAACTTGGGGTAAGGAGAACTCAGATCATTGGTCACAAAATGTCTAGTGTCTTCTTTGGGGGAAGGAAGGTGGAAAGACTGGAGAGGAAGGATACATTAACTCTTTGCTGGTAACCAGAGCAAATGGAAACAAGACACAAATGAATGACTCAATAACCTTCCTGCTCTAGGAGTAGAATTAAAGTAGGGCTCACTCCCTTTGCAGACAGGAGAGTAGGTGAGGAGAGCTGGATGTGCCCGAGCTCCTGTTCATGGTCACCTGTGGTCTGGGTTCAAGGCTCAGAGTCAAGTCTGGGCACTAATGAGCGGCTCCATGTCTCCTGCAGGTGTGGCAGTGTGGCGGGAGCGTGGAGGTCCTGCCCTGCTCGCGGATTGCCCACATCGAGCGAGCCCACAAGCCCTACACCGAGGACCTCACCGCCCATGTCCGCAGGAACGCCCTCAGGGTGGCTGAAGTCTGGATGGACGAATTTAAAAGCCATGTGTACATGGCATGGAACATACCCCAAGAGGTAGGAAGCCCCTGCGGGGCTGGCTTTCTTGAGGGTTGATGGGGAACAAACAAAGCAAATGTGCAACTAAACTCTTCTTCCCAGGAGACAGCCAGAGTCTTATTTGCCATGCTGAGTGAACTCTCAACCCTAAGATACTGGATATTGAAGAAAAGGGTCTGACTGTAGGGTGCCATGGAGTGCTAAGGCGTGTCTTACCCAACCCCATCTCTGGTCACCTCCTCCTTGAAAGTGGGCTCCTTTCCCTCCAGACCACAATGTCCTCATTCTATCTGAGAAAGTTGAACCAGGTGGCTCCAAGGTTCCAACATGCTCCCAGGTCCTCAGCTTCTCTGACAGTAGATATTTCATGGTCCCAGATTATAAATATCCCAGAAATTACCAAAATTCACCAAATGTGCCTTAATATCCCTGTAGACTGAATGCAAGCTTCTCCGTCAGACCTTTGACCAAACCAATAAGCAATGTGCCTGTACCTTTGGGATTTCTTGAACCACATGGGTGGGGCACTCCCACAGGAACCCTCAGGAGGAGAAGGGACCTGTTCTGGGCATTTTTTAGGCTGCTTGTTACCTTCGGAGAACCTCATCATTGTCTGCTGCTGTCCTGTAGCCCTCTTATTGTTTAGACACTAAGCTGTGTCCAACTCCCTGTGACTCCAGGGACTGTAGCCAGCCAGGCTCCTCTGTCTATGGGATCTCCCAGGCAAGAATACCAGAATGGGTTACCATTTCCTTCTCCAGGGTATCTTCCTGACCCAGGGATCAAACCCACGTCTCCGTATTGGCAGGCAGATGCTTTACCACTGAGCCACCTGGGAAGCCCCCTAGCCCTCTAGTCACCCATATTTAAGAAGTGCAAGAGACTATTTACAGTAGCTACAACATGTGGGGCTTCCCAGGTGGTGCTAGTGGTAAAGAACCCACCTGCCAATGCAGGAGATATAAAGAGACATGGGCTCAATCCCTGGGTCAGGAGGATCCCCTGGAGGAGAAAATGGCAACCCACTCCAGTATTCTTGCCTGGAAAATCCCATGAACAGAGAAGCCTAGAGGGCTACAGTCCATGGGGTCGCAAAGAGTCAGACACTACTAAACTGACTTAGCACAGAACATGGATGCAACCTAGATGTCCATCAACAGACGAGTGGATAAATAAATTGTGGAACATAAAAACAATGGAATATTACTCAGTCATAAAAAGGAACGTATCTGAGTCCATTCTAATGAGGTGGATGAACCTAGAGCCTATTATACAGAGTGAAGTAAGTCAGAGAAAGATAAATATTGTATACTAACACTTATATATGGAATCTAGAAAGATGGTACTAAAGTTTATTTGCAGGGCAGCAATGGAGACACAGACATAGAGAACAGACTTATGGACATGGGGAGAGGAGAGGAGAAGAGAGGGTGAGATGTATAGAGAGAGTAACATGGAAACTTACGTTACCATATGTAAAATAGATAGCCAGTGGGAATTTGCTGTATGTCTCAGGAAACTCAAACAGGGGCTCTGTATCAACCTAGAGGGGTGGGATGGCGAGGGAGGTGGGAGGGAGGTTCAAGAGGGAGGGAACATATGTATACCTATGGCTGATTCATGCTCAGGTTTGACAGAAAACAGCAAAATTCTGTAAATCAATTATCCTTCAATTAAAAAATAAATAACTTTTTTTTAAAAAGGGCAAGAGAGAAAGTGATGTATCTCTGGTAGCTTTGTACAACTTTGCTGTGTGTCATATGGAAATGACTTTGGACAGCTGGGTTAAGCGAACCCAACAGATGCCAGCCACGGGATCCCCACCTGCCTGCAAGCCAGTCTGCTTGAAGGTCGTTGCTTAGGTTGCGTTTTATGTGACATGGAGCTGTTGACTGCATGACCTCCTGCTTTCCACCCAAGGCCATGGCTTTGCCTCAAGAGTCCTTTGGAAAGCCTCTGCTCTTTCAAATGGTTGATCTTTGCTTAAAGTTTCCGTGTGAAGGCCTTGTTTCCTGATGTCTCCACCAAGCTAATATTTAACTCAGGCTGAGGGATTGAGAAAGTAGGCCGGGAGGGAGGTTTCAAGCAGCCCCCTAAGGGCCACCACCAGGTGGTGGGGTCTTGGGTCGGCTGCACCCTTGTGTAAGCAGTGAGGCTTCAGCAGTCGGGAGAAAGAAGGAGGAGCCCCAGCAGTGCCAGCGGGAGTGCAGCCAGCCTTGATGGACCAGCCCCGAACGCAGCTCTGACAGTGGGAGTGTTTCTAGGGAAACCGTGGTGTGTTCTGGACCCATCTGTGTCTGTGGGCGTTGGATCACAGCACTCTGGGCAGGATGCTGAGCCCGGCTGTGGGAGTCCTCTGATAGCAAAATGTTGAGCACACTTGGAAATTCCCCAGGAGCTCACCAGCAAAGCAGTGTGGTTCCCCAGGCTCTGTAAAGGACTGGGGTCCTGTCCATACCCTTGTCCCCCTTCGCTCTGAACCGTAATGCTGCAGACTTTGTAGCCCTCTCCACCACACCCCCCGCCATTGCAGCTGACAGATGTTGAAATAAGACAGCAAATCCGGAGAGTGGTAGAGAATTGAGTGTACTTTGAGTAAAAGTAATTAGAAAATGATGAAACTCAGTGTCTGCTGGTGACTCCTAGGGGAGTTCAGACCAAGTCAAGCGGGTGGGGGCTGGGGAGTAAGACAAGAAGGACAGATGAGAGGTGGAAATGTCCAGGATAAAGCCTTTAGGAGGAGAAGGAAGAGGTCAGTATGTTTCCTCTTGACCCCCTGTTCGCTACTATGTCCAAATTCCCCCTTCTGCCTCTCTCAAGCCTGTGGAAAGAGCCACTTTACACCTCCCATTCACTTCTGAAGTCACATCTCAATACTACCTTGAAGCTGCTTTTGACAGAGTCATCATGGGCCTCCTACCTGCTTAATTTAATGAGTATGTTAAAGTCTTCAACTTACAGGATCCCACCTTTTCCTTAAAACTCTTCACTCCCTTGGCTCCATGATTCCACACCCTAGATTGTCCTCATCTCTCTGACTGCTCCTAACTCTTTGTGAGAAACTTTTACTTCCAGTGGATGTTTGAGTGCTCCCCAGGGATCTGTCCTTGGCCACCTGCTCTTGTGATACACCTCTGCAGGGTAATCCAATCGACTCTTGGATTCTACATTGCCTACATGGAAAGGATCTCCTAGTTATTCTGTTTAGCCTGACTCCTGCCTTTAGCTTCAGACTTTACCTGCACATCTTCCCCTGGCTGTTCCCACAGGAACTTCAGACTGAATCTGACCAAAACTGAGTATATCTTTCTTCTCCAAATCTGCTTCTGTTCTTATCCTCTATCTAAATGCACGATGTCCCCCTCTGCTCAGGCTTGTGAGCTTATTCCTGAGCGGCATTCTTTAATCATCTTCCATCCCCAGTCCATTACCGAGCCCACCTTTCCATTCCTCTCACTTCTCAGTTCAAGCCTTGCCTCTTCCTCTGCAAGAGCCTCTGGCTGGTTTCCCTGACTCAAGTCTTACCCCTTAAATCTATCCTTCCCACTACCCAAAGTCATCTTTGTAAACTCACAATGACCATGTCATTGTCTTACTTGAAATCTTTAAACGACTCTCCATGTGCACGGGATCAGGCATAGAGCCCAGCATTGGACATGGATCTACACTTTCTCCTCCAACCACAGCCCCAGTCCCACCACCCTGATTTTGGAGGCTCTGAAGATGGCATGGACTAGGGACACTTCCCTGAGTGCCCTGTCCATGTCAGGCTGTTTCTTATTTCTCTGTGGTGGCCCATTTTGTCCTCTATGCTTGCAATTCCTCTCAAAACTTCTTCCCCAGCCTCCACTCTTGCCACTTCTCCTTCATCCTTTTAGATTCAGCTCTGCTGACATCTTCTTTAGAAGCCAGTCCAATCTGGGAAGAATGCCCCCTTTCCCCTGCGTGTCTCTGTCATTGCATCATTACCCTGCAAGAGAATGTTCCATTGTCTGAAAAATCTCTCTCTCATTAGATCAATGGCTCTTAAATCTGGCTGAACTTTAAAATCATTTGGGCTCCACCCCAGAGATTATGATTTAATTGGTTTGGAAGGGAACTAGGGATTTTTTTTTTTTTTTTTGGAAAGCTCTTTGGGGATTTTAATGTTCATCCAGGGCTGAGAATCACTGCTCTAGACCATGGGCTCCCTGAGGACAGATTATGTTATTCCTATTTGTTTCACCAGGTCTAGCCCAAGTAAGGTGCATGGTCAGGGCTCAGTAAAACCTCGCTAACATTTATTAGCAAATGAATCTGCTGGCCATGTGTGTGAGCCCATTCTCCTTTGATCAATGACTCCCCAAGACAGATCTACTGATCAATTGCATCAGAATCACTTGGAAACCTTTTAAAAATATTGATTCTGGGTATCATCCTCAGAGATTTTGATGAGGAGGTGTGTAGAGGTGCCAGAATCTATGAAAAACTCTCTAGGTGCTGGTTTGGGGAAGCCAGTTTTGGGTAACACTCATTTACCTGCTCATCTTTCCCAGCTCACCCATAGCATCACCTACTCCAGGAAGCTTTCTCTGACTGCTGTCCTTCCCTTCCCCATCATCCTGGCTGCCCCACACCATGAGATGGACCAAGGGCCCCTTTTCTATTGCCCAACACTCTCTGCTTCCCTCCATGCTTCACACTCTGTGCAGAGAGTCTGTTTGCTTGTCTGGATCTTTCAGACTCTCCTTTCAGACAGAATGTTACTTCTTCTTGTTTATGTTCATGATGCTTAGGACAGTGCCTGACACAGTCTAGGCACTCAGTAGAGATGAGTTGAAAAAGAAACAAAAGGAAGGAAATGTGGGTTCTACATCCCTCTGTGTTTTCCCCAGGACTTTCCCAAGCTGTCCTTGATGTGGCAGCATCGCAATACCTTCTGCTCCGTCCCGGGCACATCTGCTCTCAATTTACTTAAGCTTCTGTCTACAAATTCAGAGCTGGAACCCTTCAACCCTGCCTGGTTGGCTACTTGGAGAATTAAGTAAGTTAATATGTGGAAGGACTTTGATCAGTGCTTGGCCAATAGAAAGCATTCAGTTCAGTTCAGTTCAGTCACTCATAGAAAGTGTTAGAGAAGTGTAAATTCTTTTTGTCAATGTCATCACCTGCACCTTCTGCCTTCTCACCTGAGCTTTAGAATGCCCTTGTCGGGCAGTCATCCTCCCTTGCTGCCCTTTATGCAGAGTTCTTTCTGGGCCGTGCACTGAAGAGAACCAGCTTTCTCAGCCACTCCCTTACCACGTGCAGTCCCAAGCTTTTGGAAGATCAGAGGAGCCTTCCACTCATGCTTCCTCTCCTTTAATTGACAGTCAGTTTGCTTATCAGCAAACAGAAAGTCAGTCTGCAGCAAAGCATCAATATTTCCTTACGCAGGATTCGGAAATTCTAGACTCGCCCCTGCTTCCTCTTGCCTGAAAACGGGTTGAGTGCCAAGGATGACTCACCGTAGTTGTTAAGCGACCACCATTCTCGAGGTTTGGCTACAAGGAATTTTGTGTGTGGCTGCACACACAGGCAGGAATACTGGACAGCTTTTTTGTGGCTAAGTATATTAGTGTCCCAGGACTGCCAAACAAATTACCACAAACCGGGTGGCTTAAAACAACAGAAATGTGTTCTCTGGTAGTTTTGGAGGTCAGAAGCCCACAGTCAAGGGACAGCCAAGGCCACGCTCCCTCCAAAGGCCCTGGGGGAAGATCCTTCCTGGCCTTTTCCAGCTTGTGGGGGGCTCTCGGGGTTCCTTGGCTTGTAGATGTGTCTTTTCATTCTATGCTTCTGTCTCTGTGTTTCCTCTCCTTTCTCTCATAAAGATTTAGGATCATCCTAAATCCAGAATCATCTCAACATCTCTAATTAACTATATCCACAAAGACCCTTTTCCCAAATAAGGTCACATTCAGAGGTTCTGGGTGGATACTGTTCAACCCTCTACACTAACTGTTTGGCACAAAGGGAAGATACGTGTATTGTTTTCTAATAATAAGGGTCAAGGTGACCTTCTCTGAGGAAGCTTGCTTATTTCCCAATTTCTGCCTCCGGCTCCGAAATAGAGTTTGATGCAATTTAGAGCGAACAACACAGTACAGATGTGCTGAACCATTAAAATGGGAAGGCAAAAGTCAATTAATAAACAGGAAGGGGAAAGGGACATGATATCCAGACATACAAGCTGAGCAAAACTCTGTTTCTTGAGTCTCCTAGAAGTTAAAGTAGAGTGTACTGTCTCTCTAAAGTAGATGTATTGTCTCTCTCCCACTTTTGATTAGGTTATAAGTAGAGAGACAAACTCTCCCTTGATCCTGAATGTAGAAAGGAAGTTTTCCCATGGGAACCTAGATTTTTAAGGAAAACACAGAAGTCTTCCTGAGACAGATTCTTCTAGTGGCTTTCTGTAAAAGCTGAGACAGTGTTCTTTTGTCATCACATAAAGACATTATAGCATAAAGTGGGATGTCCTGGATCCAGGCAAATAACTTCGTGATGTAAGGGTAAAGTACAAAGAAATTTAAAGAGTTAGTACTTAACAGATTTCTTTAAGTTAATACTTAACAGAGGGTTGACCAGGATACATTTATCGTCAATTGCTGTGTTCATTGTTTCATACATATTTTTTCAACTCGGTCTGATCAGTAGAGTTCAGGTGCAGTGCTAGACTAGGAGCACAGAGATCAGCAGGACATGTTTCCTGACCTTCAGAGGGTGGGGGTCCAGCAGAGAAGGGCCAAGTAGAAGTTGCTGGGAAGGCTCTAGGCAGGAGCTGGGGAGCAGACCCATCATAGAAGAGGTTATCAAGCAATGCTCAAAGGGCATAACCTCACTGAAATTGCATCCTGGGATTCCAGAACTTAAACCTTCAGGCTGTAGCAAGTTCAAATCTTTACATGACCTGAACTCCAGTAGACAAAAATAAATGTATTTCTTCTATATCTATTTTTGTTTTGACTCAGGCCCCCATTGTCTGATATCAAAAATGTGTTCTGATCATGTCCAGATACATGCAGCAACTCTCTCTGTGGTTTTTCCCAGACATTTCAGAGTTAAACTGTCAATTTCATTATTTTCCCAACCCCACTAACTTGATCCCAGAATTGATGGTAGGACCAGATGGGTCACACTGGCAGCCCATGGACTGCAGTGTCAGAGGGAGAGACCTGTGCTTCCCTGTCCTCCTGTCTCCGCTCTGGGCTGGTATCTCATGAGATGACACTTGCCTCGGCTGGTCCCTGGCTCCATGATGTCATCCTCTGAGATGTCACCTGTCTCCATCTGATCCCCAGCTGGAGGGAGCCCTCTCCATCTTCTGCTGTGGCATCAGCTCTTTCTCAGCTGATTCTGTGCCCTATTCAACAGCTGGGGTGCAGGTCCCAGGGCTTCCTGGGACCACAGAAATGTGGGGGCTTCTCTCTCGCTCTCACTCAAGGACGTACCCTTGTCTCTGTGACTGCTCCTTGCCTATTGCACCTCAGTGGCTCAGGGCCACCTCTTTGGTACACCTGGGAAATGAGGGACACAGTACTGTCTATGCTAAGCAGCCCCCGCCAGGCTTAGGGAGAGGGGCTCTGCTTCTTCCACAAGAACTTGGTCTAAGCTGGCAGGAGGGCAGGCTCCTGCAAATGCCCTGTAAATTTTAAAGCACAAACTCCAGACCCAGGCTGATTGGGTTCAACTTTCAACTCCATCACTTACTAGCTGTGGGATTTGGGCAAGTCACCCAGGACGTCACTGAACCTCCCACATCCATAAAATGAGGGTTATATTGTGCTCCCTCATGAGTTTAAATAGGACCATATATGTAAATTTAATGTAAAGTGAAAATGAAAGTCACTCAGTCGTGTCTGACTCTTTGCGACCCCATGAACTATACAGTCCATGGAATTCTCTTGACCAGAATACTGGAGTGGGTAGCCATTCCCTTCTCCAGGGGATCTTCCCAACCCAGGGATCAAACTGAGGTCTCCTGCATTGCAGGCGGATTCTTTACCAGCTGAGCTGCCATGGAATCCTAAAAATTTAATATAAGTAAAATATAAAAATATATGTGTCTGTCTCATATAGAACAGAGCCTGGCACATTGTGTTATGTAAGCCTTAGCTTCCCTGAGCACTAGGAATAGTATTAGAATTAGCAGTATTCCATCTTCAATTATTTTCCTTTCCTCTTCCTCTCCGCACACAGTTCAGAATCTCTCATCTTATCTTTTGAGATAGAGGTAACCGTGTTGTTGGTTCAGTCACTCAGTCATGTCCAACTCTTTGCAACCCCATGAACTGCAGCACACCAGGCTTCCCTGTCCTTCACTGTCTCCTGGAGTTTGCTCAAACTCATGTCCATTGAGTCAGTGATGCTATCTAACAGTCTCTTCCTCTATTGCCCCCTTCTTTCCTGCCTTCAATCTTCCCCAGCATTGGGATCTTTCCCAATGAGTCAGCTCTTCACGCAAGGTGGCCAAAGTATTGGAGCTTCAGCATCAATCCTTCCACTGAATATTCAGGACTTATTTCCTTTAGGATTGACTGGCTTGATCTCCTTGCTGTCCAAGGGACTCTCAAGAGTCTCCTCCAGCATCACAATTTGAAAGCATAATTCTTTGGCGCTCAGCCTTCTTTATGGTCCAGCTCTCACATCCATACATGACTACTGGAAAAACCATAGCTTTGACTATATAGACATTTTTCATCAAAGTGATAACATTACTCATACTATATTCTTCCATTTCTTTTACTTACACAAAGACTACAGCTTTTTTTTCTTTAGTAATTTTTAAGGATTTAGTCCCTTTATTTTCAATGGCTTTTGATAACAGTCCCCATCATTGCTGATCACCTGTTTTGCAGACCAAACAGGTGTGGTTATGGGGCCAAGGCACACATGGGGAAATGCCTGAGTTAAGTTCCCAGGTAATGCCTTCACCAGGAAGTCTCCAGAACTGTGGTTAGGGAGGTTCAGGGAAAAGTTGTACCATGGTGGTGGCTGCATCTCTGTGTTTGCATCTCGCACAGGACTCAGGAATTGACATTGGGGACATCACTGCAAGGAAAGCTCTGAGAAAACAGCTGCAGTGCAAGACCTTCCGGTGGTACCTGGTCAGCGTGTACCCAGAAATGAGGATGTACTCGGACATCATTGCCTACGGGGTGGTAAGGAGCCCACCCTTGGGGTTTCATCCAGACACATCCACCCAAGTGGGACCTGTGGTAGACCTGTGGACAAGAGGCTGATTTCTGGAACTTCATGTGAAGTAGCCTATACGTTCATAGCCCACACCTCTCCGTTCCCTTGAGAGAGGAGCTTAGTCTCTCCTTTCAATCCTAAGCAATTAAGCTCTGGCCCCAAACATGAATATGCCACTTAGTAAAGCAAAAACATGCAGTTAAGATTGCAAGACAACCCCAACTGTTTCCCAAGCATGGGTGCCTGAGATTCTACCGACCAGCCTGCATGCCTCCCTTACCCAAGGTGCTATGTCTTCCATTCACGCAGAGCCTCCTAGAAAGCAGATTTGGGAAACATATCCTTCCAGAGTTCATTGGATTTTGTTATGTTTTAGTACCACTTATTGATTGGCAGTTCCCCCAGCACAGGCAGCAAGACAGAGAGGCAGAGCAGAGGGTTTGGATCCACATGGACCCGGTTCCAATCTTGACCCAGCCACTTCCTGGGCAAGTGCTTTAATGTCTATGAGTCTTAGTTTCTTCATATGTTAAGTGGGGTAAAATGATGCTGTCCTCATGGGTAGAAGAAAGTCTCCGATATAGAAATGTATTTTGTGTCTGAGGTTAAAATACTTTGAAGATGATAAACTCTCCCCATGCTTCCAATATCCCCAGGACATTACAACTCAAGGTATTTTAAATACCTGATTGATTTTTGGATATCTTTCCTGGTTTTTGCTGAGCGAACACATGAAGATTCTCTATGACAGCTAAGCCCTCACAATTAGCCTCATAACTATCCCCTGGGGTTACTAGGCTCACTCCCTGCCCCTGGTGTGTTACAGATGGGGAAAAAAAGAAGCACAGTGACCTGCCCATGTTCACACAAGTCGTCAACCTGAGTGAAACTGAGTCTAGAGCATCACCTTCTGATATCACTCCCATTCCTCCCCTTGGAGTGTCCCCTCAGATCTTTTAGATATCCCAGGATGAAAACTTGAAGGAAGAATTCTTCCTCTGATGGTCTGTGGCCAGAACTGAGTTCAAGGCCCGCCTCAACAGGAACTTAATGGGCACAGCCTCAGCCTGGAGAGGAAGAATTCTGCTGAAGGGCCGGCTTCATTGTTCCCATGGGCCTGCCAATGCTCCCATCCTAGGATTCTCAAGGAGACAGAGCCAGGGTCCCAGGAACTGCCCCTTTCTACCGCCCTGCAGGGCCTCTGTTGTCCCTGGAGGCCTGACTATCGGAGGGGGTCGTGTCTTCCCACGAGAGTCCCCATGTTGTGGCTGACATGTCCTGAGAGAGCCACCCAGTAGCCTCTCCCCTTCTCAGGCTGGTATAATTCAGATGTCAAACTCCTCAGCTGGTGCCGCTCAGCCGTTGCCTGAGGCCCCAGACCCTGTCTTCGCCACGGAAGCACACTGGACTGTGAGGTGCCCATCCAGCCATCCGCCTCCCCAGAACCATCCTGAGGACACAGCTGATACACTGCCCACAGCACATTATGTGCTGCTTGGTTAGTCTTGGACCAAAATAGGACAGTCATGCTACTGTGGCTCCAGAGAAGCTGTTGGCCCAGGCCTCTAAGAGCCAAGGCAAGCTTCTGGATTCACGGTCTCACCAAGCTATCAGCTGTAGCTAAAAGTATTCGCCAAACTCAGCCAGAGAGGCATAACAGTGCAGGTGTTCGCACGCAGCCATTGCAATCCTGGGTCTGGGCCCAAGGCATTCCAGTCATCTAAGCAAAAGAGTCACATCTTAGGAGTACATATAGCACATTTACCATGTAGACCCCTCACCCAGATCACACCTAGAAACCTTTGGTTGGTCAAACAGTAAGTGGCATATCCATGTTGTGATCTAGATCTGGCTGAGTCCACAGTGGGGGCTGTTTTCACATTGTCATGCTGAAAACCCATCCTCCCACCACTCCAGAAGGCTGAGCTGTGTCAGCCATTCCTGGGAATGGCAGAACTTCTGTGACCCTGTGCATGTTCATTTGCCGGCTACCGTTCAGAGCTCAGCTGGACCCCTTCTCTCCTGCCTCCTCCATGGCTGGGCTCTTACATGAGCAGAGACACTTGCTTGTCCAGGAGCATAATGAACTCAACTAGGGCAGTAAGGTGACAATGGTTGAGGCAGGATGCAGTGCAAGAGCAAGAGGATTTGTGGAGCTGAATCTTTCTTCCTGGTGATTACTTTTATTCTGAAGTGGAGAGACCAGGTGTCTTCTCAGTAAAGGTTTTTTTCTTTTTCCCCTCCAACTCATGCCTAAACTTCATTGCTCAGGTCAGATAACCCCTCAGAATCTCAGGCCACTGTCAAGTCTGTATAACCCATACCATTAATCTAGTAAAAGGTCTCATTAATGAGACCTTCTGGCAGGCAGAAGGATCATGGGCCTTGCAGTGTGGGCATGGGCCTCCTCTAGGATTACTGAGCTCCAGACCTGGGAGACAGCATGACTTTGAATAATCCCAGCTCTGGTGCTGACAGGAGAGATGGAGTAGCATCCAGAAACAGACATGCCTACTTCTGAAAGTTAGCTTTGCTACTTAATCACTGTGTAACCCTGGCAGTTTGTAAAACCTTAAAGGTTAGAGTCATATCACTTCATGGGTCATCTTTCACAGTCTCAGGATTGTCACCATTTGATGATGGAAAGAGCTTGGACTTTGGAGACAGACTCCAGCTCTGCCATTTTTCCAACTATGAGGCCATTCATTCGTTACTCATTTTCTTTGCTCATTCATCCCGTATGTACTTACTGTCTAATATGTGCCAGGACTGTCCTGTGTCACAGGCAGTGAGTAAGCCTGAGACCTAGTCTGGTGACTGATAGAGGAGCCAGGCAAGCAGAGAAGTGACAAGAATACAGTGTGTAAGTGCTGCGATCAGAGAAATGGAGGTATGGTGGCCTCACGCCCAGATGCAGGTCAGGAAAGGCTTCCAGAGTGACAGAGAGGCTGAGAACCACAGGAGGAGGAGGGTTTAGTCAGGGAAAAGAGAAGGCCAAAGCTGAGGATCCATGTAGTGGGAAGAGCATTACAGACCAAGAGGTGAGGCAGAGCTCCTTGCTACAACACACTTCCTGCACGCTTACGAGAGTTAATATTACTAACCTGGCTGAGTAATTTTGAGGATTAGGAGGGATAATGCATGGGAAGCCCTTTTCCTGGTACCTGGCACATAGATGCATTCATAAAAGCTAACTTCCCTGAATGGCTTTCAGGATAGTTATTGCAGTAATAATAGCACCTAACAATTATATCACACTTTTGCTATTTATCAGGCCCTATGCTAAGCACTTGCAGAGATTATTTCAGTTAATCCACAAACTCATGAGGTTGGCACTATAATTATCCGTATTTGAGAGAGAGAAGGAAACAGACAAGGAGTTATGTTGCTTTGCCCAAGACCAAACAGCTGGAGCCAGGATTTCATCTCAGCCTGTCTCTCCCAACTTCAACAGACAACCTGCTTAATGGGGGATGGATGACGCAGAATTAAAGAGGACTTTATCAAAAGTCACCACCCACCCTCATTCAGAGCCAGCTTTGGGGTCCCACAGGAGAGCCATGTCTGACACCAGGGCTTTCTGAAAGTTTATGCAGCTCTCACTAATGGATCCCGGCTTCAGATGTGACAGACAGCCCTCTGCGGGTGGTGGGAGGAGTCCAGGGAATATTTGCATATGCTCCTCCCACATGGGTCAGTCAGGTAGTTGGTTTATGATAGAGGATTTTATGTTGCATGGATGCTTCTGGGGCCCTGCCTAGGGAGCTGACACATGTTCATATTTCTTCAGAACCTCTAAACTCCAAGTTTGAGATTGAGCTGCTATCACCCAGTAAGAGAAAGGGAGCTCAAAAGAAAAGAATTTGACTCTGTTCTTTGTCCCCTGTCAAGAACAGGATGTTCATCGATCAAGTGTGGGCCTCCAGTTATCTGTTGCACTTCACACTCCTTAATTGGGTTCATTGTACTCCTACCACATCCATGAAGACTACAAAAATTTAGCCACTGTCTGCCTCTGGCCCTCCCCAGATAGATGACCCACCCATGGCCCATTACCCTGGTCTCCCCTGGATCCCAATCTCCAGCCTCCAGTTGTAAATAGAGTGCTTTGATCACTAAGAAGAGCTATGTAAGCTAGCTTCAGTGTAGGTGGGTAAAGATACCATAAGCTCTCTTACAGGCCCAGGAACTGAAGTGCAGCTGGACCCGGGCACTCGTGCTGAGGCCACGAAAATCACAATGGGGGCAGGATCATCTTTCTTGCCTCTAAATCTGTCTGCCTCCTGCTTCATCTCCCCCTTCATCACAGCTGGATTTCTCTGCTTGCACAAGCCCAGCAGAGACCCCATACCAGATCTAAATGGCCCCACAATCTGAGTGGCCATCACCCACTGAGCAAGGTGTCTTGTCTCTCGTCAGGATTCCTAGGGCAGAATAAGAGGATGATGAGACAGTCATATTCCAGAAAGAGAAGGATGGGGAGAGAGGAGGAAAGAAAGGGAATTGTTAATTCATTCTGAACTATGAGTTGGTACCCTCCCTGATCTCCTCAGCTGTGGCATGTAAGCAGGGCCACGTGAACCATAAGCTGCCCTTTCCAAGGGCTGAGAGTGGGCTTAAGCCAGAAGGGGACATTGAATATCAGCTTTCCTACCTAGATGTGCTAAGATATTGGTTCATAGTACTTTTATACTATTGATTGGCACGTGTTTGTAGGTGAGAATAAGAGACACCTCTCCCCTCTCCTGTTCCCTCTCTGGTCCCCTTCTCTCTTATTCACCCACCAGACCTTCCACTCTAGGGAAACTTCATCAGCTGGGTCCCCACTGGGGCCTGGCCAACCACTGCTTGATCTGAAGGAGACAAAGAAGGCCTGATCCCAGGGAACATCCCAGGCCCCCAAAGAGCTGACATGTTCCTCACCTCCCCCAACTGTCAGAAACAAAGTATTCTATCCAGGGACTTCTGTGGGCCATTATGCCGCCCTTGTGCAAAAGGAGAGGATGAGAAGTGTAGCACCATCTTGTGTGTGTGCGCGCATGTCATAATTTTACCTAAACCCTCTCAGCTCCCCAAATCTAGCATGTTGTTTAACAGCATCTGAGTTCTTATCCTTCAGAGGAGGCTGCTCTGCCTTCAGCACCTTTATACAAGGCCAACACTGTTGGTTTCTTGGTATTTGTTGGTACTTGTTGATTTCTGTAGTATTCAGGGTTGACTGAAAGAAAAGTTGACTTTGGGAGCAGAGCCTGTCTCAGTGGAATGCTTGTTTCTCCTGATTTAACGTTTTATTTCTCTCTCTTATGTGACTGCCTCTCATCTGGTGTTCAGTTGCAGAACTCCCTGAAGACCGATTTGTGTCTTGATCAGGGCCCAGAGACAGAGAATGTTCCTATTGTGTACATCTGCCATGGGATGACACCCCAGGTGAGTGTTCTGAGATCCCCATGCCGGGCGTGTGCATGTATGTGTCTGGTGGGAAAAGAAAAGCTAAAGTCTGTCATGGCTACTCTGGGCCCATGGACCTTGGGGCTTTTCATCAGAAAGTATCCTCATGAGGAAAAAAAGAGAGTCATATTTACATGCCTGGAAGGAGTCTAAAGGAGCAGAGGCTGGGATGCCAGGATCCCCTGGGGTGGGCACAAGGAAGGTGATATGTCTCTAAAGAGAGACACCTGCCTCCACTGGGGAGACTGTCATAGATTACAGTCCTGGCTCTGGCAGCCATGCCTTTCCCTGGCTGGAAGGAGCCCTAAGTTTCCCCTAGACTCCCTGACACCTCAGAATCTCTTCAGAGTGCCTCAGGTTCTGCCCTTTGGTCCATCATATCTGGGACCAAAATTTATAGCCATGAGATCCTTTCTAGGTCTTCTGATCTTCTAGCAGAGAATGAAGGGAAGCTACCAGAAAAGTAAGTTATCCCCCTAAAATTCCCCATTCATAACCTAGGCTTCAGATATCCACAGAGGGCATTGAGACACTGGCAAGAAAAATGGTTTATTCAACAAAGTACAATGGACAGTGACCAAGAACACCCTAGACTGACCCATTATGACTTGGCATTTTCAGAGTTTACTTAAATTACCTCCAGAAGTATAAAATGATTTTTAAAAGATACTTCAGTATAGAAGATACATGTGTTTGTGCAGTTGAAGTTAAGTGTTTTAAAGAGCTGTTACCTGCCTAAACTGAAGGTTATACAACTGAAGGATACCATGATGTGTCACTAGTGTACTATCCCAAGATTTCCCAGAAATTGCCCACTGTGATCTCTACCACCTTGTCCTTTTTGTGGGCCAAGCTGCTGTGGCCACTGATTGGTCAGTCACAGTCAGCAGATCACATTATCCTCATACCACACAGTATATCAACTCATTCTCCATTATTAGAATGGTGTAACATTTTTAATGAGTGACTATTTTTATGCAAATATTTTGTTAGCATATAACATATATGCAGAAAATAGACAAATAGGAAATAGACAAAGTGTACAGAGTAATGAACTTTCAGAGCAAACACACCTGTGGAACAGCACCCAGGTCAAAAAAAAAAAAAACAGTATTGCTTTGAGCTTTATGTAAATAGTATCATAAGGTATATGCTTTCTCATTTTGGAATCTTTCCTTCATCATTATTTCTGTAAAATGTGTCCATGCAGGTATATATAGTTGTAGTTTTTTCATTTTTTTTTCTATCATGTCATATTCTGTTTTATGAACATGTCTTATTTACCATATATTCTACTGTTGATGGACAGTTGGGAGACTGCCAGGTTGGGAATATTACAAATACTACTGCTCTGGACATTCTTGTCCATGTCTTTTTGTGTGCATATGTACTCATTTCTTCTGGCTTTAAACCTAGAAATCAAATCACTGAGTATAGGGTTGACGTATGTTCACTTTTAGTAGACACTGCCTATATTAGTCTGCTAGGGCTGCTGTAACAAAATGCCAGAAACTGGATAGCTTAAACAATAGAAATGTATTTGCTCACAGTTCTGAGGCTGAAAGTCCAAGATCATAGTGCCAGCTGAGTTGGTCTCTCTTTTTCTAGCTTGCAGATAGTCACCTTCTCACAGTGTCCTTGCGTGGCAAGGGGGAAAGAATGAGCAAGCTGTCTGGTGTCTCTTCTTAAAAGGACACTAATCCTATTGCATCAGAGCTCTGCCCTTATGACCTCATTTAACCTTAATGTGCAGGTCTGGGAAATTCTCAGCCTATCCACATTACAAAAAATGAGAAAGGTTGATTTGGAGAGAATAGCAGAAGTGCTACTGAACAATCATTTGATTAAGAGATAAAGGGTGGGGCTCTTGGACTTAATCAACTATCTCACAGCAGAAGGCATCAACAGAGAGGGGCTTATACCAGCAGGGACACTGACAGTTTGAAGTAAAGATAAATCAGGGAAAGATAAAGGAACACTATTGGACTTCTTGGATTCTATAAGATGGGACCATAAAGCTATTCAATTGTGAACATGTACTATCCCTAAAGAAAAGGGACGAAGGATACTGAAGGTGATTGAGAGATCATCAGGGCACAAGTCCTTACTCCTACCACTGGCCCCAGGGTAAGGCTGTTCACTCAAAGGATGGGCCTGCCACTCTGGTTTCAGTGGGCCAGAATGACCCTGCCCCAAGCTAGTGGGGTGGGACCAAAGCAGTGAGCAGCTTGGGCAGGGCCACTCCAGAGAGCCAAAGGGGCAGGCTGCCCTACAGAGCAGTGAGGGGTGATACTGCCACCCCCATGGGCGTGGAGGGCAGAGTATCCAGACAGAAGTGGTTATTCTTGAGCCTTAAGATCCAGTGGAATTTCGCCTTTCTGTGTTCTGGGCTTGCTTGTGACCCACTACCCTTTTCTTCCTTCCAGTTTCTCCCTTTTGGAATGTGACCACCTCTCCTATGCCTGTCCCACCATCATATTTTGAAAGTGCATAATTTGTTTGATTTCACAGGTTCTTAGCTGGAGAGAAATTCTGCCTCAGAATGAATGATACCTTGAGTCTCACATATGTCTGATTTAGATAATATCTGGACTTTAGACTTTACAGTCAATGCTGAAATGAGTTAGGACTTTCAAGGCTGTTGGGATGAAGTGAATGTACATTGCATGAAAGAAGGAAATTAATTTGGGGGGCCAAGAGCAGAATGCTATAGACTGAAAATGTGTCACTCCAAAATTCACGTGTTGAAGTGCTAAGCCTGTCTATATGCGGAGTAAGAAAGTAATCAGGTTAAATAAGGTCATAAAGTAGAACACTGATTTTATGGGGATAGTGTCCTTCTAAGAAGAACCACCAGAGTGCTCCGTCACGCTCTCTGCCACATGAGAACAGAGCAAGAAGGTGGCCATTTGCACCAGAAACTCTCACCAGAAACTGAACAGGCCAACACCTTGATCTTAGACTTCCCGACTCCAAAACTGCGAAAAAATAAACAAGATCATAGGTAGTTCCATCTTCCTTTAAGCCACCCAGTCTGTGGCATTTTGTTATGGCAGCCAGAGCCATTTAATACACTGTCAAACAGTTTCCTAAGTAGTTGTTTTAGTTTTTACCCCACCAGACATATGTAAGAGCTGTAGTCCTTCCCCATCCTTGACAGTATTCGGTATTATCTGTTTTTCTAAACTTCTAGATATTGTGGTGGTTGTATAGTGCTATCATGTTGTAATTTTAATTTTCATTTCTCTGATTGCTAATGTAGTCAGGCACCTGAGTTTCAGTTGTTCCTGAGTGTGGGTCAAGATGACCAAGGTCATAGTAGTTCCATCTTTGTGTAAATTCCCTCTCTGCATCGTAATACGTATGATCCAAGTCACAATAGGTGAACTCGCTTTTAATGAATCTAGGTGGAAACGTGTGGTGTTGATGTTCATCTACCTCTCTGGCCACATGTCAGATGTTTCCTCTGTGGGATGGTGGGTGCCTGTTCAAGCTGAGTCTGCCAGCTGCAGGTGATTCAGTATGGGGCAGTCTATGCTGTAAGGAGCATGGATTCTGGATCCAGATTGCCTGAGTCCAAATGGCAGCTTTGAAACTTGCCAGTTGTGAACCTTTGGACAGGTTTTTTAATGTGGGCCTATTTCTTTCGCCTGTAAAATATGGATTAATAATGGTGTATACCATAAAGAACAGTGTTGTAAGGATTTAATACGTTTAAAATAATGCCCAGCATATAGTAAGGGCTCAATAAATGTTTAGCTATTACTATCGCAATGATGATATTATTATTATTATTATTACTGATCATTGAACCTTGCTCAGTATAAATACCCCCCAGTTTGTAACTCCAGTTCACACCGTACTGACTTTCCTTGGCCTCAGGTGTCATGTGCTGTGGGTTCCAACCTTGGTCAAAGCTGACCCATAGGCTATGAGAGCGTTTTGCTATAGTAGCAAAAATGCAGTGGGGTGGGGTGAGGACAGTGAACGGGGCATCAGGAAGCCTGAGGCTTGGTCTTGGCACACATTTGCAATCACCTTATCTCTCTCTGGTCCTTATTTTGTTTTACTCTTTTACTGAGGTATGCTTTTACATTAAAGTATACACATCTTAAGTATACAGTTCAGTGAGTTTCCACATTTGTAGACACTGTACAGGCACTACCTAGATCAAACCCATCATCCCAGTGGGCTTCCTCATTCTGCCTCTTGATTAATACCTCCATCAAATGCTGTGTTAGTTGCTTAGTCATGTCCAACTCTTTGTGACCCCATGAACTGTACCCCTCCAGGCTTCTCTGTCCATGGAATTCTGCAGGCAAGAATACTGGAGTGGGTTGCTATTTCCTTCTCCAGGGGATCTTCCTGACCCAGGGATTGAACCCAGGTCTCCCACATTTTGGGCAGATTCTTTACCATCTGAACCACCAGGGAAGCCCGGGTAATGACAGTTTTCATCTCTAGCACCATTCATTAGTTTTGTCTGGGTCTGTATTCTTATCTGCCAGTGAGGAAGTTGGACTGGCCATCTCCAGGCCCAGCTCTGCCAGCTCTGCCAATCTGCTTACCTTGAATTCTTTTGTTCTGAAATCCAGTTGCCTGGGAAGCTGTGAGCTTGTGCTGTACTTGCCAGGAATACTTGGAGCTGCCTTGCCTTGATGCTTTGTAAATCAGCTTTTTGTTGTGGAGCTGCAGCAGGTCTTAAAGACTTGGGTCCCCCTCCCCATCCCCCCCAGAACCCTCCTGTAACTGGTCTGTACATGAACACTGGGGCCCAGATGCCCTCTCCTACCAGGCTTGAGATACACAGCTGTCAATACCCAGAGGTAAGGAGGCTTGAGACCAGCCTCAAATCACACACATTTCCAAGAACAGGGAGGTGTAGGGACACTGCTGTGGCAGGAATTTGTTGAGTCTGGCCTTCCCAATGAGTTCAGAGAGCTGGAGAGAACTGGGTCATCCTGGAGATGGGCTGTGTA